GCTCGTGCTCCTCTACTCGCTCCCCTCGCCTTATCCTCATCCACCTGCTTCACATTGCTCAGCCCGCTCCATACAAAGACACTCGCCGTCGCTCCCTCCCGAGCCGCTCGCGGCGCCGCCTCGCCCGAGTCTCGCGTCCCCCGCCCATCGCCCCTCCCTCCCTCCCTCCGCGACCCTCATGCCACCGGAGAGGAGGGCGACGACGGCGGCTTCCGACGAGCTGCCCCTCTCTCCCTCCCCCTCCCTCCTTCCCTCCGCGACCCCATGCCACCGGAAAGAGGGCAACAGCGACGGCTTCCGGCGAGCCACCCCTCTCTCCCTCCCCTCTCTCCTTCCCTCCTCGATCTCCATGTCCTAGGAGAGGAGGGCGATGGCGGTGGCTTCCGGCGAGCCTCTCCTCCCTCCCTCCGTGACCTCCATGCCACCGGAGAAGGGGCGACGGCGGCGGCTTCCAACGAGGTAGGTGGGTCCTTCTCTGGATCTAAGCCCTCCTCCTCCACCACCTCCTCTGGATCTGAGCCCTCCTCCTCCTCCTCCTCTGGATCTAAGGGATGTGGCGGTGGCTAGGGTTCTGGCGAGCTCTCGGGGTCAGATCTCGCCGTGTTGCAATGGTTTTTTTTATGTTGCAACATATGATTTCGAATGTTGCAATGTGATTTTTTTGGGTTGTTGCAACAGATGTTTTTGCGATGTTGCAGTAGTACTGTTTGAGATGTTGTAGTATGTTTCAGTTGCTTCAATCTTATGTTGCAGTAGTTGTTCCATGTTGTTGCAAGTGTTTTTATTTCGAGCGTTGTTTCATATGCTTCACACCAGTATTGCAATAATATGTTCTAAATGTTTCAGCTCCTTCAGCCTATTGTTGCAGCAATTAGTTCAGTGTGGTTGCAATAATATGCTCATAGTGATTTAGCTGCTTCATCCTAATGTTTTAGCTGTTGTTCCTTGTTGTTGCAATAATATATTCATGGTGTTTCAACTGCTTCATCCCAATGTCGCAGCTGTTGCTCCTTGTTGTTGCAATATATATGTTTCATGGTGTTTTCAGCTGTTTTAGCCTAATATTGCAGTAGTTGTTTCCGTGTTGTTACATGTGTTTTATTCTAGCTTTCTATGTTGTTCAGTCGGGGAGGGGCGAGCCAGGACGGACGGGGGCGCGTGGTTCGCCGGGGCCTAGCGGGCGCAAGTGCTGGGGCCGGCGGATGCGGGGGTGTTGTGGCCATGGAGGGCACTGGGCATGCAGCATGCTCGTCGCGGGCATGGGGCGGATGCGACGGGCTGCGGGGCGATCTGGGAGCGTGTAGACTCGTGCAACACAGAGGCTAGCGGGGCTCTTCGTAGGCATCGCGGGTCACCGGTTCGCCGGTGTTAGTGGGGCTCCACGTTCGACGAAGACGCAGCGGCGGCAGTTCGTGTGGGCGCGCGATCTCAGGGCGGCGGCGTCAGTCCATGCTGCTGCCCCAATCTCATACCATCGCCAGCGGGTCCGCTCCTTGCGTGCGTCGCCGAGGGGCGTGCTGGTAGCGTCTAATGCCGAACTAGAGAAGGGGCGCGCGCTGGGGGAGTGTGGACTGGGAAGCGGACGAGGGAGGTCGAGCGTTGAGGGGCGTCCGGACGCTAGCGCCCAGATTAGACGTCCGGGCACTAGCAGTTCCCTAGCGGATGAACCCTAGTCCGTGGGGGAGTGGGGTTTTTTAAAAGTTTCTGCTGATTGATTGGACGGCTGCGATTGCATCGAGTGGAGAGGGTTCGTGTCCGTCAAGTGGGCCTGGCCTAGGGTTCACGCCACTAATACTTCCGTATGGGCCTACTAATTCTCCTGGGCTGTGTTTCCAGGCCCAAATGGAACTTGTAGGCAATGCTATATTTTCTGGGCGGATCATCCTGTTCGAGGCTATATTTATTCTTCTGGGCGGTGTGAGAAAAAACACTGTTCCCGATATGCAAGCGAAGGCTTATGAATCCACGAGGTGCTCTGCTGTGGCAAGCCACGCGGATGGAGGCGTTTGATTTTCTTGCAGCCTGTGACGCCATCGTCGTGACAAAACTAACTCTGTGTATCATCACAAATCACCGACGTGGACTTGATCAGCTTGCAGTTTCAGCAAGCAAACCATTGGCTCGAGGTTTCACCACTTCGGAACGCTGTTCGTTTCTTTTTAATCCTTCGTCTGTACTTTGCAGGAATGGACACTGAGTGACGCTATCGTTTAATAACAATAACAGAAAACTAAAATAAAACACAGCTTTACCGGCTCATCTGAATACAAGAGTGACAAATTCAGAGAGGCATCGCTGCTGGTGTGTGCATGCGTGTGTGAATGGAATATGCTTCAGGATTTCCACAGTAATCCAAATTCCAAAGTCGTTACGCTAGCTTGTCGGTGCTGCGGCCTTACATACTCTATGCATATTTGGTACAGAAACCCAATCCTTCGCGGGAAAAAAAATCACAAAAATCGTAGCCCAGCATCGTTGTCGTTGAAGCGGTCACCACCGATCAGTAACGGTGATGGCTCCGATGGCTGCGTTGGAATGCAAAATTGGCGACGACCAGGAATTCAAGTCGGTCGCGGACTGAGCTGCTGCTGTCACTGTGGAGTCTATATCGTCCATTTCTGATCTGCTCCATTATTATTCATTCATTTCACTCCCGGATTGGAGCAGCTGAGCGTATGCTTGCACGCAAAAAAAACAAATCCAATGGTGACGTGCGCGCGGGGTGCTGGACTAGACACTAGACGACGTCCACCGTTGCCGAGCACGACCATGATAATTAACTTAGAATCTGATCCTCTACACATACTTAACTGAAACCTAATTCAGAATGCTCTGATTTAGGTTTAAATTAAGTATGTATACAGATCAAATTTTAAGTTAATTATATGAATGTTGAAATCGTAATGCGTAATAAGAAGTTTTTGTTTAGTGGCTCAGTCTTTGTTGGCCAGGCTGCATATAACTATTACACAAATCTTTACCGAGGCGGACATCGCAACCACCTCGAACGAAAGGTCACGGTTAATGGAACCTTTTCCGAGGCGGTTGGATACCCGCCTCGGTAAATCAAATAAAAAAAATAAAAAAAAGGGAAACCCGTGGATAAGCTCGGCGAGCCCATCCACGCGCTGCCGCCGCCTCAGCTGCTCGTCGGAGACGCAGGTCGGAGACGCCGGATCCGCTACGTCCTCGCCGGAGACGTGGGTCGGGGACGCCGGATCCACGCGCTGCCCATCCACGGTCACCGGATCCGAGAGAGGAAGAGGAGATGGTCGCCGGTGGGGGAAGAGTGCCGCCGCCCGCCACGCCACGCACCTGGACGCGCCGCCGCCGCTTGATCCGCATCTAGACACGCCGGTGGTGCAGGAAGGGACGCCCGGCGGATCTGTGCTCGTTGGTGAGGAAGGAGGCGATGGGGCACCGGATCTGCGGTGGTGGCGCCGGATCCGCGGTGGTGGAGGTGCTCCGGCGGTGGGGAAGAGGGGAAGGAGCCGAGCCCGCTCCTCACCGAATCCGCACGCCCCGCCCCTGGATCTGTCGGAGAAGGAGGCCGCGCGCCTTGGAGGCCATCGGAGGAGGCCGCCGCAGTTGGAGGAGGAGGGGGCTGCACAGCCACGCAGGAGGAGGAGGGGTGGCACGCAGCCACGCCGGGGCGTCGGAGGAGGAAGAGGCGGCCACGCGGCCACGCCGGAGGAGGAGGAGGAGGTTGCGCTGCTTGGAAGGGAGGGAGGCGCGGCCCCCGTTGCCCGCGCCACTCGCTCGGTCGAAGGGAGAGGACGTCGGGAGGGTCAGAGGGAGGGAGAGAGGAAGGGGCAGCTGTGTGGAGAGGAATGACCGAGAAGAAACCGTAAGTCCTTGATTATATATGAGACCGGCATAATGGATTTTGTTTGCGTCTGAGCTGGGCCTAATTCACCGAGGCGGTTGCGTTAAAATACCCGCATCGGTTAATGATTTACTAATACGGTTATGTTACAATGCTCGCCTCGATTAATACTTATTAACCGAGACGGTTATTTTACAATGTCCGCCTCAGTTAATGATTTACCGAGACGGTTATGTTACAATGACCGCCTCGGTTAATGATTTACCGAGACAATTATTTTACAATGACCGCCTCGGTTAATGTAACTTATTAACCGAGGCGGTTGCTGGCCCGGTTGCCCTGCCTCGAATAACCGAGGCGGGCGATCGGGCCACCCGCCTCCGAGGCCATTTTGGAAATAATGCGTAAAAGATTTTGTGTAGTAGTGTATTGCTACGTAATATTGGATTGCTCCGATGTGTTCTGCGGACTAAGCCCCTATTTGAATCCATATAGATAAAAGCTATGTTACACTAATAATTATCTCTTTTAGATCCATACAGGTGCAACTAATAAAATAGCTAATTGTTAGCTGGATCTATAAATAATAACTATCTTACTAGTTGGATCAAATGAGCTAATAACAGCTAATAGTTATTTTAGGTAGCATTTTTATTAGTTGTGCATCTAAACATCCTTCAGCTAATAGGTAGCTAATATTTAGCTAGCTAATACTCCCTATTATATGTGAGTTAGCTAATTATTAGTAAAAATGATGAATCTAAATAGGGTATGTGAAAAATATATTTTACAGCTAACTATTAACAGATAATAAATTATTAGCCAGCTAACTATTATATATGCAATGTCACAACAGAGTTTTACAGCTTGATATATACGTTCACAGTGTACGTGCACGCATGTTTCAAACAGCAGATTTACATACCTACTCATATATACTTGTATGCTCTGCTCCATGGCAGGGCGACCATCACCTTCCCAATCCCAAGATAAAAAGGAGAGAAAATCAAATCAAAGAAAGTAAAAAAAGGAAACTAAAAATACCTTGTTCGTTCCCAAATGTACAGCTAGCCAGCTACTTGGCGAAGTAAAACTAGCGCAAAACAAACCATGCATGCAAACGGAACGGAGGTGGTGGCACAGCAGGAGAGAGAGCAGCATGCAGGACTCTCTACTAGTTCTCCGGTATGATGGAGAGCCGCGGCCTCCACGCGTCCCGGCACGGGCTCATCACCGTGACGCTGCCGCCGCCGTCGGCGTTGCCGCCGTTGCAGCCGGCGAGTTCGGTGCTGACGACCTCCTCCATCCCGGCGGCGTTCCTGTCCTCGGCACCGTGCTGCTCCAGCCTCGCCACCAGCTGCGCGATGTCCTTCCTCTTCATCACGATCCTCACCCGCACCGCGCCGTCCTCGCCGTGGCCGGCCAGCTCCACGCGGCACTCGGGCCACGCCTCCTGGTCCCGACCGCCGTCGCCGTCCTCCGGCAAGTCGTCCACGACCGGCACCACCACGTGCCTCGGCCGCGCCGCCCAGACGTTCCTGCTGCGGTCAGGCCTCTGCTGCTGCTTCCTCCTCCTCTTCTTGACGCCGCCGGCCACGGCGGCGGTGCCTTCTTCGAGCTCGTTGACCTCGTCGTGGCAGCAGCAGCGGCACACGCATGGCAGCGGCAGGCTGTTGCCCATGTCGTCTCGTCGAGACGTGTGTGTGCCTGTGTGGCAAAGCGCTACCGAAGAGCGAGGAGATTGATGTATGTGTTGAAGGCTGGTATTTGGTGTACCAGTGATTATATAGCAAAGAGAGAGCGTGCATGATGGGGTGTAGACTGACTAGAGGCGTTGCCGTCTGAGTTTGAGTCAACTGCTATAGGGTACGACACGCTCATTGGCCATATATGCCGGTGATATGTATATGTCGGCTTTGGTTGACCGTCAAGCACGGAAGCAAAAGACTGCAGCAGCTTTGTTGGGTTTGAGTTTCAGTAGGCTGGCTGGCGGATTTCAGTGTACTGTACTACAAAAAAGAAAGAAAGAAAGAGTTTCAAGAATTTATCTTTGGAGCATAGAGTTTCAAGAATTTATCTTTGGAGCATACTCTTCATTCGTGTGGTTCTTCAAGGAAGGGGTTATCCTTACCAAAGACAGTGCGGGCGATCCGTCCGACCAGACGCCACGCTTTCTGGGCCTGCACGTTACCGGCCCAACAGCCTGCTCCCCTCTACCTTCCTTCACGCCTTCTTCCAAAAAAAACAACGACATTTCCCAACTCACGCAGCCATCGCGGCGTTCTCCACCGCTCGCCCGCCTCTCGCCTTCTCCAACACAGGGGCGCCTCGCCGCGGGCACGGCACCCATCCGTCCCGACCTTCTCCAGCGCGGGAGCGCCTCGCCGCGCGAGGCCGCACCTGCCAGACCGCTGTTGTTGCCTCCACTACGGGTGTCGCTCGTCAGGGGCGCCGCCGCTCAAAGGGACCCGCGCATCTGCCCGCCCAGTGCCATCCTCCTTCACCGCGACCTAGTGCCGGATCTCGCTTTGCAGTGCTCCCCACCTTCCAGGTTTTGTTGAACGTGCATGTTGCAAGCGTATATTTAAAGTGTTTCAGATGTTTTAGAGATATGTTGTAAGTGTTTCATACGGATGTTACAAAAGTAGATCGGGATGTTGTATATTTTGCATTGGTTTGTATACGTATGTTGAAAGCGTCTGTTCGCAATGTTTCGTCTGTTTTTTAGATGCATGTCGCAAGTGTGTTTATCTGGATGTTTCACATGTTTCACACATATGCTGCAAGTGTTTTATCTGGATGTTGCGTATGTTTTGCAATGGTTTTCAAGTGTTTTCACGTGTTTTTTTTTGCAAGTGTTTCAGACGCATGTTTCAAATGTTTCATATGTCTTTTTTGTATGTTGTAAGTGTTGCATCTGGATGTTTCAAAGTAGATCAAGCGTTGCACATGTTGCTATGGCTATACACACATGATTCAAGTGCATGTTTCAAGTGTTTCGTCTATTTCAGACGTATGTTGTGAGTGTTTTCATTTGGATGTTTTAAAAGTAGATCTCGGGGAAGCACATGCTACTGCTGCTAGTGCGCCGCCATGGGTCACCCTTGGGTCATCGTGCGCGCCTTCTGCTGGTGGTGGTGGTGCGTGCATGTGGGCGCGTGAAAACGGAGCGGGCTTTGGGGTGGTCCCCGCGCATGCGTGGGTCCGCACGGCCTCTGGAGCGGGATGGGTGCGGGGCAAGGGAGCTGGGTGTGTCAGGCGTGGGCGTGGGCGCGGGAGCACCATCTAACGTTAGCGCCCCGGATCGGACGTCCGGGCGCTAGCAAGTCCAAGTAGAAATTGGTATAGGAGTAAATTTTGTGTTTCAGTAGTAAAATCTAGAAACCGTCCAACATCTAGTTTCTTGAGTGTTCATTTGCTAAATTATTACTTTGACTTGTTATGCAGGTTGTCAGGTTATGTTTGGAATTTCACCTCCAGCGAATGTAAATGGTATATTCAGCCAATTGTCTAATGAAGGGTCCGGGTCGTAGAAATTATAAACACTTCGTCGAGGCGGTAACATATTTTGGTAGGCATTTTGGTTGACAAGAAATTAGTTTGTTTTTGACAAGTGGAAACCAAAAACAAAATTTGCAAGTCATGTTCGAGGGACTCATTGGCTTCGCGGTTCTGGGTGTAGTTGCAACGATGTGATGATCAGAAGTTGTTCATCCAGGGATGTAGCGCATTGGAATCGGCGACATGCGGTTTTTCTCCTCCCATGTATGGCCGCTTATTTTTAGAATTTTTTTTAATATGTGGGACCCTTTTGGTAAGCGTTGGTTGTGTTTGGGTGGTGTGTCTGCCGCTGATTGTACTAATTTTGATTGATTCATCTTCTTGAAAGGTGATGAAACTAGAACTTCTTTCCATTATATAGGGAGTAGATCCATATATGAATAGCAGCATAGAGATGGACTAATGTAAAAGGCCTGTCAAAATGGCCTCGAGTTGAAATGAGAGGTAGTATATATTAAGTTGTACTGGTAACTGGTACCTGCTAGTTTTTTTTTAACAGTTGGTTTGTCGAACTTAACTGAACATAACCGAAGTACTAAACTAAGCCCCATGTGGTTGAATGTCACACATATTACAATTATTTTTAACATCTAGCAGTTTGAAAACTAAGGCCTAGCTCAATATTCTTCACTATTCAAGGGTCAATATCGCTACATGTTCTCTATAAATTCTCTCATCATTCGCCAAAAATTTCAGTCTACAATGAAGAACAGCCATGCATATTATGCCTCAGCAAGAAACAGGACTGGTCAAGCAAGGAGTGTAAACTCAACAATCAAGATTCAAGAATCGATGATGCGATTCTTATTACGGTATTCTTAGTTTAGAATAAAAAATTATTCCTGTCAAACCATCTGTCGTCAAAACAAGAATTTTGACGCCAGAGCAGGTATTGTTATCTGCTGATTTTTTTTTTATTTTTATTTTGAGCGGAGATTATCTACTGACTTCAGACGATAGCGACATCTTCTAGACTAATGGTGGACGGGAAGCCACTCTGACGGTCTGCAGAGCTACTAACCTGTATGATATGGAGATCGGTACAACGTGGAGGATGGGACTAATGGCCAAAACTGGAGCACTGAGGAAGCCCTATAATACACGGAGCACAACAGATCCACACCCGAACAGGTTTACGCATGCACTGAGGAAAGAGACAAAAGAGAGTACTCCGTATAGTTTTATAAACAATTGTTTATAAGCTATATTTTTTTTTTTCAGTCAACGAACAGTATTTTTCTATCACACCAAATCAACCAACAATACTTTCAGCCATGGCTTATCAGCCAAATAAGCCCAAATAAACAAGGCGTATATCAGCTATACATTTTCCTCAACCTACAAACCCGGTATTTCTTCACAGGAAGAGAACAACAAATGTACACCCAAAAAATTTTCCTACTGCTTTCAACCTAATATATATAACACGCGGGCTCTCTGTTTCTGCTAAACGAGCCCTTTCTCTAATCCTTTTAGAGCTAAAAAGAATCTCATTTTCTTTTTTCTTCAGCGTGAAAAGGGAAACACATATCTACCTACAAAAGAGTTAGTTTTACAGAAATGCTTTCTTTGCTTATGCCGCAACGGGTTGAACCAGACATTCACATGGACCTGGGGCAACAACGTCCTTATCAACATTCGTTATTTCTCTCGACAGGTACTTGTCAACAGCTGCTGCTGCTTCCCTCCCCTCTGCAATTGCCCAAACAACCAGTGATTGCCCACGCCTGCAGTCCCCGGCAGCAAACACACCTTCCACGTTAGTTGCGAAGTTTCCAAACTGAGCTTTGAAGTTTGATCGGTTGTCTTGCTCTAAACCCAGCTTCTTGGCAATATCCTGCAGTTAGTGCTTACTATTATGTCAGTTAATCCAAAAATCAGATATCTAAACTAACACTAGTATCACACTAAAATCTTTTAGGGGAAAGAGGTTGGAAAACTAACCGCCTCGGGACCTAGGAATCCCATAGCTAAGAGGACAAGATCTGCCTCAATAATTTCTTGTGAACCTTCTATCTCCTTGAATTGAAATCTTCCATCCACTTTGCTCCATTCAACACGTACTACCTCAAGGGCCTTCACTTTTCCATTTTCATCTCCGATAAAACGTTTCGTGAGGATTTGGTAAGTTCTTGGGTCTTTTCCAAACTTGCTGGCTGCTTCTTGGTGCCCATAGTCTCTTCGGAATATCTTCGGCCACTGAATGCAAATATAGAAGCGCAACAATGAGAATGAATCACAGCATAATAATGCCAATGGAATTGAAGTCAGTGATATGCTTACAATTCATAAATTTATTAATTAATCTAGATAAGAAAGGAAATAAAGATGTTATCATTTTTCTTGATGAGTGTTCTAACCTGAGGCCACGGATTGTCAGGGGCCCTCTCTCTAGGCAGTTCTGGTAGAAGTTCAAGGTTTACAAGGTTGCTGCAACCATGTCTGATGGCTGTCCCAATACAGTCTGTACCTGTGTCACCACCACCAATTACAACTACCTTTTTCCCTCTAGCAGATATGTAGTTACCATCCTCTAAGTTGGTGTCAAGTAAACTTTTGGTATTGGAATGAAGAAAATCCATAGCAAAATGGATGTCTGACAGTTCACGTCCAGGAATAGGGAGATCTCTGTTCAAGGATAATGCTCTAGATGTTAGCAAATTCTCAAATTCATACAATTAAACATATATATTTTTTAACAACATAACCATAATTGCCATATTGGTGATAAGGATGATGTTGCCAATTTGAACTCATAGTGTTACTGAATCACCTCGGCCTAGTAGCACCACAAGCCAAAATAACTGCATCATTCTCAGATCGGAGCCGCTCAATAGAGTACCGAGGATCAGTTCCAACATGGGCATTCACAATGAATTTAACCCCCTCCTTATCCATTAAATCAACACGGCGCTGAACGATTCTAGCTTTGTCTGCCTTCATGTTTGGAACCCCATACATCATCAGCCCTCCAATACGATCAGCACGTTCAAACACAACTACATAATGTCCCATCTTGTTCAGTTGATCTGCAGCAGCTAAACCAGCCGGTCCACTTCCAACAATAGCAACTGTCATCCTGCATATTAAATCGTTTAAATGCAACTATTATGGCATGCTTTCACTCATGCAGTAGCAAAGCAAGCCAAAGATGGCAACAAAAGCATACCCTGTTCTCTGAAGGGGAGGGCGTGGTACTATCCACCCCTCTTTGAAGCCTTTGTCTATGATGGTACACTCTATGCTTTTTATAGATACTGGATTCTCTATAATGCCAAGCACGCATGAACCCTCACAAGGAGCCGGGCAAACTCGTCCAGTGAACTCAGGAAAATTATTGGTCTCAAGTAGGCGATCTAATGCTTCACGCCATCTGTTCTGATAAACTAATTCATTGAATTCAGGTATCTTATTTCCAAGAGGACAGCCAGCACCAAAATTTTCCTGCAGAATTTTGATCCAAGAAAATTACAAAAAAAACGTACTACAAAAACTTAATATTTTTATACCAGCCAGCATGCATCAGAAATTCACATTGTAACAAATTTGAAAAGTATATGAATCAATATCACTATTATTTACTGAAGAACAATGCAAGGAAATGGTTTGATTAGGCAAAGTAATTTGTACATTAGGAATTAGTGTATAGTTATGTAATAATTACTGGCAAGACACTTATGGAATTTTGGTTTGAGGAATCAACCCATTCTAGGTGAATCCATTCCTCAAATTTAGTGGAATGGCCCCATTACTCATATTAGTACTAATTATTAGCTTGCGAGGAATGAGGTGGTGATGGATCGACTCATTCTATTCCACAAACCAAACAAAAAACTTAAAGAGATGATGATGGAGCACTTTATTACACAAATTCACAAACCAAACACCCCCTTAATGAATCTTGACTGTTCAATGTCAATGTGTACACAAACTTGTGTAAATCTACCAAAACATGATTACTGGTTCTTTTTATGTCAGCATAGATAACAGCTTTAAAATACACAAAATTTGACAGCAAAGAGCATATGTATAAATAATTAAATATACCATAATGAAAAGCAAGCTTTAAAGCAACAATAGATAACCATCTGGCCTAATAACTGAAAAATATGCCTGTGACAAACGATGACTTCTACCTTAGACAGTACACTTGGGCTGTTGGTTTTAGTAATATCTTCATTTTTGCATTAGATCATATTTTCAGAGTAGTAAATTTCTTAAATTCTACTCGGAATACTGAGCTAACCCATGTATACTGTGCCTGTTTGTGGACTCCTTTAGATCAATAAAGTCAATGAAAAAGAGTATACAATTTAACAGAATTAGACAAAAGGCGTAAAATATAATAGATTTCAATAAAAAGAGCAGAATTTTGAAATTGTAAGTATCACCTGATGACAGAAAGGAGTGCTACAACTCATGCACCGAGCAGATTGTGTGTTTAGCAGTGGCCCAGGAACCAATTCATTTGTAACTTCATCCCAATCCTTAACACGCTCATTTTCATCTCTGTAAGAAATCCCCTCTCGCTCATATTTTACAAAACCTCGAGGCTTTTCAGCATTGAAAACTTGTGTTGGTCGGCTAGATGACTTTTTGTTCTGTACTTTCTGCATACCAAAATGATCACAAGTCATACCCAGAAACCATTTCCAACAGCAAATTTAGGTATTACAATAAATATAATGAAAAATAATTTCCATTTAAACCAGGTTTACCTTTGTAATTACTGAAACACCATTTGGAGCTTTAATCATTTCAGCTGCCTTCCTATCCCACCACTTTTTTCTCATTTTTTGCTCTGCTTCTTTGGCAACCTTTTCCGCCTTCATATTCTCCAAAACCCGCTTGTAATCTCTTGGAAATACTTTTACAAATTTTGGAAGAAGATCCTCGAAATTAGAAAGTATATCTTTGGCAAAAACGCTTTCTGTGTTGAGTCGATGCTGTTCTATCATCACCCTCAATGTTGTAATGTCATCCTCTTCATCTACACTATACAGGTTGACTAACTCATGATTGCAACGGGTACTGAACATCCCATCCACATCATAAACATAAGCAATGCCGCCACTCATGCCAGCGGCAAAGTTTCTACCAGTTTTTCCCAGAATAACGACAGTGCCTCCTGTCATGTACTCACATCCATGATCGCCGATTCCTTCGACAACTGCTTGCGCACCTGAATTGCGGACACAAAACCTTTCTGCTGCCATACCATTAAAATATGCTTCTCCCTTGGTAGAACCATATAGAGCCACATTACCAATAACAATATTGTCCTGTGGGATAAATCGGCTGTTTCTGGGTGGGTACACAACAATCTTGCCGCCAGATAATCCTTTACCAACATAATCATTGCTGTCTCCTTCAAGCTCAAGAGTGACTCCAGGACAGAGAAAAGCACCAAAACTTTGACCAGCACTTCCATTGAGTTTAACATGGATGGTGTCTGGAGGAAGTCCAGGCATACGAAATAGCTTTGTCACTTCATGGCTGAGCATAGTGCCAACAGCTCTATCAGTGTTCTTGACTGTTGTCTCAATGAAAACACGAAATCTTTTTTCAAGGGCAGCTCTTGAGGAGGCTATGAGTTTGTTATCTAGTGCCATATCGAGGCCATGGTCTTGTTTCTCAACACAATATTGAACAGCCTCGGGATTAATCTCAGCAGCTGATTTCAAGATCAGTGATAGATCAATGTTCTGAAGTTTCTCATTGCCTTTCAGTACATCTGGATCAACCTCAAGCATATCTGATCGCCCAACCATTTCATTGACGGTGCGGAAACCAAGCTGAGACATTATTTCTCGTACCTCCTCGGCAAGCATGAAGAAGAAGTTTATGAGATGCTCTGGCTTTCCAGCAAATTTTTCTCTGAGCACTGGATCTTGTGTAGCAATACCAACAGGACAGGTATTAGTATGACATTTCCTCATCATAATGCAACCAAGTACGATTAGTGGAGCTGTGCTAAATCCAAATTCCTCCGCCCCAAGTAAACAAGCAATGACAACATCTCTACCAATTTTCAATTGGCCATCAGTCTGAAGGACAACTCGGGCCCGGAGCCCATTTGCTACTAGAGTCTGATGTGTCTCAGCCAGTCCAAGTTCCCAAGGAAGTCCAGCATTTTTAATTCCTGTCCATCTAGAAGCCCCTGTGCCTCCATCATGCCCAGAGATGAGAATATTGTCAGCATGTCCTTTAACGACACCACTTGCGACAACTCCTACACCAGCCTCAGAGACTAGTTTGACACTGATTCTGGCCCCTGGATTTGAATTCTACAGAAAAATGGAGAACCATAACATAAACAAGCAACATTTTTAAGGAAGAACTATGCTAGAAAGTGCAACTTCAACTATAAATATGATGCTTGTACTAAGTGGCATTAACAACATGATCTTTAAAAAGGTAGTCATAAGCATATATAGCAGGACTCTTGGAAAAGGGAAAATCGTCATGAGAGCATACCTTAAGGTCATAGATAAGTTGTGCAAGATCCTCAATGGAATATATATCGTGGTGAGGAGGTGGGCTGATGAGTCCTACACCAGCTGTAGAATGTCTTGTAACTGCAATGTCGCCGATGACCTTATGACCTGGGAGCTCGCCCCCTTCGCCTGGTTTAGCACCCTGTAAAAGATATAAATTTCTCCAACATGACAAATAGCCAGCATATGTTATAGGATTAGCTACAATGAATCAAGCATAGTACACAGTGATGCAGAAGTAAATTGTTCTTTTGAGCAATTCAGGGAAGAGGTTCCCCATGGTGCTTAGGTACTTTGTGCAGAAATAAGGTGTAATAGTCTAGTATAGTTAAATATACCTGAGCCATTTTTATCTGCAGCTCAATAGCATTTGTCAGATAATAGATAGAAACTCCAAATCTTCCACTTGCAACCTGCTTGATCGCACTTATTAATGGATTCATGGAACCATCAGGAAGAGGGTCCATGCGAGACGGTTGTTCCCCTCCCTCGCCTTCATAAATATATATATGCATCCCAGTTAGCATATGAAATGGAACTAGTTACCAACTGTAATTAGCAATCATGCGGCAATGCTGAGTCAATTCTTTTTCTTAAAAACTGGGTCAATTTTCGGTTGTTCGGTTTTTGGGCCCTAGTTTTTCATAAAAACTTGGTCAATTCTTTTTCTTCTAATAAATTATGTGGCGATGCTCTCGCCGCCCTTTCGGGGGGAAAATTGTAGTAGCAATTATACTTGAAGCAAATAACTATGATGAGGAAATCACAGATAAAATAAGGCTCATAGTTGCAAGAAGGGTTAAATATCATAATCATAACATATAAAATGCAGTGAACAAGGGTTAAGAAACAACTCAACCTGTTTGCTGTGCCTCAAAAGGGCATGAGACATGGAAAAGGCCAAAACTAAAGTAAGCAACATATAGTTCACTTGGCATTTTCTGGGGTGTCTGTCCCCTATGCAGCACGGATACGGATACGTGTATCGGTATCGGGCGGATACGGATACGTGGATACGGCATTTTCAGAAAAAACCCGATACGTGGATACGTTTTAGTATTTTTAATAAATAAATAAATAAATAAGACTAAAGCATATTAAAAATTCTAAAAGCAGTAGCAGCCAAGGCTTGCAATTGTGTTGTTCTGCTCATGCTCATGTTTTATGTATTTCCATCTAGCCAACATTCCAACAGAAGCTTGCCAAGCATCTCCATCCGCTCCTCAAAATCCAATTAAGAATGTACAGGTGTTTAGTGCAGAAGTAGAACTAGTCAACTTGAGGGAGGATTAAATTATTCTGGTATATCACAATGCTGCATCTATATAATATCAAGATCCGGAGAGAAATTAAACAAAAAGGGGATTAGAGAAAGGGAAAATGGGAAAGCTCACTAAGGTAACCTAACTGCTACCCATGACCAGCAAGAGATGTGGTGGTCTTAGCTCCCTTCACTGGCCTAGCCTCCACAGGACCAGTGGTGAAGCAGAGGACCTCCTTGCCGCTCGACCGTGGAGGAGCTCTTGCGTGCAGGCATGTTGTCGCGGCTGTGTAGGGTTAGAGCCTTAGAGGAGAAGAGGCAGCAGGCACGGCCGCACAAGGGAGTCTGGAATTATCCAACTAGCTGTTGATGGGCTTGGCCGTATTGGACCAACATATCACACAAGGTTAATGTATCCATGAAGAGTATCTGAATTATTGTGGATTAATTTTTTTTCCGGATACTCCGTGGATATGTATCCAACGCGTATCCAAGCTGTATCCGATACGGATACGTATCGGATATGGGATACGTCCCTATATTGGAGTATCGGGGTAACATAGTCTGTCCCACGCCAAAGCATAGGTCCATGGTCCGGTCCAATGACGTTGTCGTTTCACATGGGCTATAGTGCCGCTGTGTATGGGTGGGGCAGAGGTTCGAGGATTTTTTGGACTTGCATGAGAATGTCTATATCTTAGGAAAATGCCCAGGCAGTGGCGGATCCAAAGGGGGGGCTGGGGGGCTCCAGCCCCCCCTAATGTCTTGATTTCAAGTCTAATCACTGTAGCAAAAGCTTGATTTCACCATTAAATCTTCATGTAAATCAACATCTCCATTGTTTTAGCCCCCCCTTATCCCGCATCGTGCATCCGCCACTGTGCCCAGGGGCTGCCTTATCCCTGAGTTTTTTAGTTCACTTGGCATTTAAGAACATCAACTTTCCCTAAAAATATATGGCATTCATAAGAATGGTTAGGGTGGTCATATCATCTATGGTGGAAAATACCTGTATTAGATTTTGTTCCCATTATATTCTGAGCCCTAGCCATCGTTGTATGAGCTTCCAAGGAAATGGACCCATAACTCATTGCTCCAGTACAAAATCGCTTGACTATCTCACTTGCAGGTTCAACCTCATCCAAGGAAATCCTGACAGGAATTTCTCTAAACTTCAGCATACCACGAAGAGTACAGGACTTATTCAGCTCCTGAGTGTGTCTAGAATATTCTTTGTATGCTTCCCTGCTGTTGAGTCTAGCTGCTTCTTGTAATTTTGCAATAGAAAAAGGATCATTAAGGTGTACTTCTCCATTTTTCCTCCAGTGATGATCTCCCGGGTTGGGAAGAGAGTTTGCTTCTGCACTTCCAGGAGGTAAAGTTCTTGACGGGAATGCCAACTCATGGAGATCAAGTGCATCTTGTGCAAGCATTCCAAATGTTGAACCCTCAACTCTACTAGGAGTACCTCAAAACACTTACTGACCACTTCTGAAGCAAGACCGAGGGCCTCAAATATCTGAGCACCTTTGTACGATGCCAGGGTGGATATCCCCATCTTTGCAAGAACCTTCATTATTCCATTGTTAGAAGCATAGAAATACTTGTCAATAAGTTCCTTTGGATACAGCTGTCCATCATCTTTAGGAGGTATTTTCTCATCAATTTGTAGCCGCCAAATGGCTTCAATAGCCAAATAAGGGCATATAGCATCTGCACCAAATCCAAGAAGGGTGCAGAAATGGTGCACTTCACGAGGTTCAGCTGAATCAACAAGCAACCCTATGCGTGTCCTCTCAAGATTCAAGACAAGATGCTGATGAACGGCTCCAATTGCCAGTAGAGAACTGACAGGAACACGATCCGGAGAGAAACCTGTATGAAAAAAAAAACAGTTCAAATCTGACATTTTAAACCTCCAAATGCTAGAGAGTATAGGACAGGTAATTTTACAGAATCAAGCATTGAAATGCATAGCACAAAATCATATGAATCAAGTGTGTTGTGAGTATCAAGCGCTGGGAAAAGATGAAAGCAGACTGATAATAGGAAAAACTAGTTTTCCACTGGAATGGGGCAGTGCTGGACTGCTGGCCCTTAATCCGAAAAATGAGCAAGTAGGATTTAGATGAACTTAGAATAAGGGAGTAATTCAAAATGTTATCTCTTCACATGCTGTGATGAAAAATAACAGAGAAAGTTAATTCATTCTTAACCTTTTCTCCAAAAGGAAATTTAATTACCCATGGTGCTCTATGCTGCAGTAATACAAAATAAATAGATCTCTCAGCAGTTTCTTTTGCCATGCATGGACAATATGCCAATCATAGTAATATTGATGCCCATTGCCCATAAAGATAAATCTATCTTTGATGGACAATTTAATTCATGCCTGTTGAGTGGCCTGGACAGTACTTCTGTATTATGAACTGCACTAACCTCTATCAGAGAGAACTAGAATAGTGTATCCCTCATGAACAGCTTCACGAGCTTGAGCACAGAGTTTATCCAAAGTTTGTTCTAAACCTTCCCTTCCACACTCTTTAGGATAAGTTATGTCAAGCACCTTGCTGCGCCAACCACGAAAGTTCATCTTTTTAATAGCCTCCATTTCATCTATATGCAGTAAAGGACCTTGAAGTTTCAGGCGATGGCACTGATGTTCTGTTGTTTCAGATAGGTCGCCTTCTGGACCAATCATACACTCCATGGATGTGACGATTTTTTCTCTAATTGGGTCGATTGGTGGGTTTGTAACCTGAGCAAACATCTGCTTGAAATAATCAAAAGGCAGCTTCTCTCTGTTTGACATAACAGCAAGGGGGGTATCGTTTCCCATGGATCCTAGAGCTTCTACACCATTTTTGGCCATTGGTAGAAGCAGCATTTCGAGTGTTTCTACAGTGTACCTGAAGTCCAACTGGGTTATATGTAAAAGAAAAGAAGTATATAAAATACTAAGGTTGAGATGTTGCTTACCCAAAGGCTTTCAGCGGAGCCAAAATTCCATGAATACAAAAGGCTTCCTTGTTCTCATTCTTTTGCTGCACCAAAGTGTAGAACGAACCATAAATTAGTTCATCTATGTTTTTCAGCAACAACTTCTAGCCCTACAAAACAAGCAAAAGCCATATGGACTTACTGGAAGCATGTCAATCCTAGGAGCAATTCTCTCGGTTTCAGGTACAGATTCTATAATATCTGCAAGTTGTATCTTTTGTCTCTCAAGCCACTCCCCATATGGGTGAGCTCTGGAGTATTGTTTCTTCAGTTCATCATCGTCCACGATACAGTGCTTCTCAAAATCAACTAAAAGAATCGTACCAGGTTTTACCCTGCCCTTTCTCATCACATCATCATTAGGGACATCAACCACGCCAACTTCGCTAGCCATGATCACGCGGCCACTGTATGTCACATAAAAACGGCCAGGCCTCAAGCCATTACGATCCAGAGTAGCCCCAAGATAACGGCCATCAGTAACTGTGAGAATCGGGTCAACAAATGAAGTTAATCCATCAGAACTTATACAGAAAATATTAAGGAGTCAAATGGTTTCATATTTTTTACATGATACTAGAGCCGGTCCATCCCAAGGCTCCATAAGGGCCGAAAAGTACTCATACAAAGCTTTTCTCTCGGGGTCCATGTTAACATCATTGTGCCACGCCTCAGGGATCATCATCATCACAGCCTCTGGCAAGCTCCTTCCAGACCGGATGAGGAGCTCAAGAACGTTATCAAATGCACCTGAATAAGGACCATTCTTCATTAAATCAGTGCCTTTGAAAAGACAAATATAATTTAACTTGCCATGTAAAAGGGCATATACAGTACGAAGCATACACAGTTTATTCCAGGAACACGGATCTAGTATCCTAGCAATTTTTACTACTTCCTTTTTCTTGCATGTGTACATAGAAAATGGAACCTGAATCTGAAGAGGTAGGATCCACTATCGGCAGAAGTTTTGACATTTCATCCCTTGATAGGCCGAGTCCCTTGCACTCAAGAAGACCTTCGCGTGCTGTCATCCTATTAAACATAGAAATATGGCACATTGCAATGAAATTCATTCCCGACTGCCAGTCATATGGAGATTATTGCTTACAAAACTTTGCAAATTGTGTGTGTGTGTTGGGGGGGGGGGTACCAGTTCTTGTTCCCCCTAAGGGTATTTATTTCACCATTATGTCCCAAAACACGCATTGGCTGTGCACGATCCCAGCTGGGGAAGGTGTTCGTGGAGAATCTTGAGTGAACCTGTTTGCATGCATGACTCATAAATCATACCCTCCTCATCTTTGTTCATTTATATAATATGTAATATGGAGTATGATCTCAAATGGGTCATCAACACCATAGAAGGCAATGTTAGTTCCTAAAAAGTTCGAGAAGCCATAAGCTACATAACACAATTTCCCTACACTACCCCACACATACTGACATAACAGAATTTCCTTACACTACCGAGTTGAAGGACACATACACAAATTCTGATCTGAATGGCTCGATGGACCAGTATTGAAACAGCATGTGCAAAAGAGAGCGAAAGGGAAATTGCATTTTTGTGCATGTTTGGAAGCATTTCTTGCCCTTAACCCGCATTGCTACCAGCAGTTCCCATCTCCTGACTGTGTTTATGAATTTCCTTATATTGAATAAGGTTAATCAGGCTATATATTTACCAGAGCCATGTAACTTGTGAACCTTTGATCACCTAAGTCCGCAAAGAAGTACCCTTTAAGTTGAGTTGGCTTCAGCTGACCCTTATAAACAACAGTCCTGAAGAAGAAGAAGAAAAATGGATTTCACAAATGGTTTCTTCGAAAAAGTGGAAGACGTGAAATAAAGTGACTTGAGAGGAGCTCAAATCACAAAGAAATCAGTATCCATATGCTACCCTTCTGTTCCTTGATTGTTTCAGATTTCACACATTATATTTTCTTTTAAAAAATGAATAGGGTAATAAAGTGGAACCTTGAAGATAGAGAGCACATATAGAAATCATTTGGTCCTCCGTGCTCAAGACCTAAAGCTTCGCGGATGGACTTGATTGAGAGCCCATGTAGGATGTACAACTGCAGATGCAATTTGCAGAAGGAAATCAACAGACAATGTCTATTGCATTTGAAATCTACAGAATTTCAAATTCTATAGCTCATCAAAATGACCTGCTGCTCAAAGTCAGCCTTGGAGTGCATGCTCTTAGACACAAACACTTGTTCGATCACTGGTTCAGTTTCAAGCGCTGCTTTGCCCAAGTCCGAGTTGTCCGTTGGAACCCGACGCCACCCAAGCACTACATGTCCCAATGACTTGGCTATCTGCAGTCCAAATATACGAGACAAAAATGAACATGGTCTATTGTCACGACCAGATTTTGCCTTTTTTTTTCCTCTTTCTGCTCTTTCACCAGACTAACCTCATGGAACACAAGCTTGCTCTTCTCACGTCGCTCATCATCGTGGGGCATGAAGAACATCCCTACGCCGTACTGACCTGGCAGTGGAAGCTCAAAGCCGGCGTCCTTGGTGACCTGCCACAACACAACACAAAACCAAACACAAAGTGACTCCCTCGGCCACAGAAAGGTCTGCTCTCTCTCGTTAACAACTTCAACTAAGCTTGCCTCTCTGAAAAAGGCATCCGGCAGCGCAACAAGGATGCCCGCACCATCACCGGTGTTCTTCTCGCAGCCACAGGCGCCACGGTGGGACATTCTCTCTAGCATCTCGATGGCGTCGACGATCTACAGTTGAGACACAGGCCACGATAAACAAACTCAGACATGGACACAGCACACAGCAGACACAAAGGACTGAGCTACTGAAAGCTTCAGCAAGGAAGAATGAATGAATTATGAACTCCAAGCAGCGCGCGCGAAGTCGCGAAAGCGCTCACGGTTTTGCGGCTGGGCTCGGCGGAGAGCTCGGCGATGAAGCCTACGCCGCAGGAGTCGCGGTCCATGGACGGGTCGTAGAGCCCAGTGTTGCCCTGCGGTATCCTGGACATCGACCTGACCCCCGCCGCAGCCGACGCCGAGGCCACCACCCCGCCGCCGTCGTGCCACCGCGCCGCGCGCTCAGCCCACGGCAATGGCCGCGGGCGCTGCTGGGCGGCGGGGAGCGGCGCAACGCGGAGGAACCGCCCGCCCTGCGCCAGCGACACGCAGCGGCGATGCTGCAGCGCCCCGACATGCGCCGCGCCAGCTGCCCTCACCGTCCTCCGGCAGCCACGGGGCCTGCCCGGCGCTGGAGCCGCGCGGAGCTTGAGAGCCAGGGCCTGCGCCGCCGACATTGCCCGGCTTTGTGGGAAAGGAGAAAGAATGCCGCCTCCGCGCCGGCTGTACTTATCCGCGATTCTGCGTGCAGCCGCAACAGACAACGCTTGGATTCCAAGGCCCCCTGAAGTATCCGAAACAAATCTTAAAAATCTCTGGGTGCATCAGTTAGTAGCTTGCGGAAAGCTCGGTGTTGTCTGCTTCCTCGCTTGCCATGGATTAAACCAATGGTAACTTTCAGAACAGTAGCAACAAGTGGTGGAAGAAGAACGTATCTCGACAGCTGGTGGAAATAAACGAAGCAAATGATACCTTGCTTTGCTCGCTAGCAGCTGGTGCTCTTCGCCAGGAGACGACGTACGCTGCGAAACGCAGCGGGGATGACGGGGAAGGAAGGATCGCTGCGTGTTTCGCAGCGGGGGATGACGGGGAAGGATTGGGACGGCCGCCGCCTGTGTCGTCCCGGCTGCCCTCCGCTCTGCGCCGCTTCCCTTCCCTTCTGTTCACCTCACAGGATTTCACAGGCGCACGCAAGAATTTATAGCATCTTTTTGTGGGGCCCCCGTGCGTGCTAAACCCCTGCGTTTTAAATTTATTAAGTACTCCGTATTTGTGTGGCGCATTTCTTTTTTTTTTTTTGACTATTTTATTTAATTCCCCCTCTGCCTCATCGCTCGTCTAATTCTTGTTGATCCCTAGCTGGCAATGGCGACTACTAATGGGCTGTCATCGTTAATTAAGCGGTCAATACACTATGGTGACTATGGCAACGATTCCACGCGTACATATACTCCCTCCGTTCCAAATTAGTTTTTGTTATGCATATTTTAGAAAGTTAAAACCTCTTATAATTAATAATAATAAAGGGAGTAGTAGTGTGTTAACCTTCGTCTTTGAAAAAGGATTACGTTTTATTAAGACTTTTAATATAGATTAAGAGAAGTGTAAAATGATTATAAATGTCCTTGTTAGTCACTCCCTTCATTGTAAATTACAGGTCGTTTTTTATACGCACCTTAGTTACTCTTTTAGTTTTATTAAGTTATAAGTTGTTCTAACTTTTCTAGGTATATAATTTGTGTTACACACCCAGATATATATAGGTTATGTCTAATACACCGTAAAAGCTATGTATCTAGAAAAGGTGGAACGACTTATAATTTGAAACGATATCAAGTAATATATAGCTTTTTCAGTTTTTGAGTACGATACCTAATAATCAGGCAAGATGGTTTGATTATGTGCATGGCCCACTTATATAGTGTATTAAAGCTAGAATGTCATGTTTTGTGAAACAAAATTTAAGCCATACAATGACAAGTTTCTTGGACGGAGAAACAGTGAGCGAGACTGATAAATAATTATTGTACATACACTTCAAGGTGTCCTTTAAAACGCAATAGAAATCATGTAAAAATTTCATAGAAACCAGTTTACTTTTACAAAAAAAAACATAAAAGCAAGAAAATAAAAGTGCGTTCCAAAGGAAAGATAGTTAAGCAAATATGTTATTAAACTGATAAGAACACAAACTACACTTGATCTTAGCCAAAAGGCCGAGAAAAGTATGTTTGGCCGTGAAAAACAGTGAGCGAGAGAGACGGCCAAATTTCAAAATCGGCGGTCACAACAACAACAAAAAAGAAGAAGAAAGAAATCTACATCTGGAAGCGAGGGCGGAGAACGAGCAGGGCATCATCGGAAACGGCTACCGCCGCCGCCGTCGCATACGGCGGGCGTGACAATGCGGGGAGCCAGAGCCGCGCTGCGCGCATAAAAATTATATTAGTCGGAACCCGCTTGGAATCTTCTCTGCGGCCGTTTCTTATCGACAAAGCGAGCCTCCTATTCGCTGCTGCCCGCTGGGTTTGGGCCTCTCGCCGGCGCCGCTCCCGGGCGTCGCCATCCATTCCGGCCGAGGCCGCATGCAGCGTGCCGGCGCATGCACCAGGTTCGTTTTCAGACCATCTGCATGCATGACTAGCTGCATGCATCTGCATGCTTTGGACAGCAGCTGCAGCTCACGACTGATCCATCGACAACGTACGTCTTTCAGCAAGATGGAGACCGAGATAGAGAGATCAAATCATCCAATCTTGTACCGGATATATAATTTTGTCGATCATTCGCAGCTCGGACATATTGTACGGTCACCAATGCAAGTGGTACCATGTATCTGCTGGTAGGTAGTAGAGAGAGATCCACCGATGCGAGCTATGTTAGTTTACGATGATCTTCTTTATGATGCCAATGGAGCTAATTGGTTTGCTGTCACAATTACTCTAGTTAGCAGGCAATGACAAGCTGGAAACTTCATCATTAGTTGGTTCAAAAGTAAACTAATAATCTCTGTCTACGAGAGAAATTATATATAGACGACATCCGCAAGTTAGTCAATCTCATCTCATCGTGGTAGGAGTAATTAAAAAGCTTCTAGAAATTAAACTGACCAAGGCACCAAGCTTATCCTAGGTGCGTTCTGCTGACAGCATCTTACCACGAAGGAGAAGAGTTGACAAAAGTGAAAGGGATCGTATTTCGCATTGCATTTACCGTTGACGCGTTGACATGCATGTTTATTTGTTTACCATGAAAACTAGGTTAAACTTACTCAAATGCTAGCAGAGAAATCTGAACTTTCAACTACGTACTACTAGTCTATATAGATTATAAACTCGTTGTTAAGTTGGTCTTGACGTCGATCTACAGCTAGCTAGCTAGCTTCTTCTTGTATATATACAGTAGTTCAGGTCAGTAGCTATGCTAGTATGCTACGCAGAATAAGAATATTCTGATACCGATGGCTCAAACAATTTGTTTCACAGGACGTAATTAGTGACATCAGAGCGTTCATGCGACACTACTAGCAAACAAAATATTTTGGCCTATAGGCTTCCTTTGGAATACAGAAATTCCAATATTCATTCATAGTAATCATGTACAAATTTCATAGAAATCAGTTTATTTAATTTTTATAGTAAAAACGCTGAGAACAAAAAAAAAATGCTGTGATCCGGCCAAAGGGGCTTATTTCGCCCTGAGGAAACAAAGTGCCAAGGGCTCTTCTTGCTCAGGAGTCATCTGCTAGCTACCAAGAGGATCGAAACCAATCTGTATAGTATTTATATATCTCACCCGCACATATATATAACCATATCCTTTGTCTACTATATTTCAACCGGACGATTAAACTAGTGTTCCTTGGTAAGTTTGATGGAGTATGACAAATATATATTCTGCCCAAACCAGCTGTGCACGAAGATCCCAACCAGGCGGTTTGTACTCTACAATCTATGGCCAGAATACTTGTCCATAGGAAAGAAGACGAAAGTTTAACGCCGAGAGAGAGTTTTAATTTTTACAATCCTGATCAGGCATCAGGCGAAAATTTAGCACGTGCAGAGATGAGCATTCTCAGGGGGTGTTTGAGACTGCTCCACTCCATGTTTTTCAGCTCCGCTCCATGTTTTTTTCAGCCAAATAGGTTTAGCTCCACGCACTCTGCTCGAGGAAAAAATGTAGAGTTATGAGAGCACCTAAATGGGTGCTCTACAAACTCTAGGTTTTTTTATGAAGTTGCTTCACGATGGAGTTTTGAAGTAGAGTTCATGGGGCGGTCCCAAACATGCCCTTAGACCCTATTTTGATCCCTATATATATAGCTTCATCTATAGTATACAAAATAGAAAAACATAACAAAGGAGTTTATAATGCTCACATGCACACCCGCCAAAAGTACACGCGAGGTACACTCTACCACTACAAGAGATACTCAGCCATCATGCGTTGAGATTGATGCAAACCATCACCGACGTGATCATATACGGATCACATGTGCTAGGGCAAAACTAAAACTCCGAACAACAAGTTATGTCACAAAGTACATGCATAACCTACACTCATTTTTGCATAACAAGGTGTTTTTGAAGCGGAATAAATGGATGGTGCAATGAAACTAGCTTAGATCTGATCAAACATCGGGTCAAATTTGGTTAAAAAATGATAAGATTAAAAATCTTTAGCAGCCTGGACCTGATTCGACGCAATGTCGGATCGGATCGGGTTATTTCTCGGGTCTTATACACTTTGGATCGATTTTTTTAGGTTAGGTTGAACCACCGGTCGAAAATCATGCCAGAATATGATCCAATGCACCGGTGGGTCAGCAGCTCGAGTGGCCCATGAATAAGTCCAAGTAAAATTGGTGAAATATGTATTTTTTTTATTTCATTCTTTGTTTTCAAGTTAGTCAAAACAACTTTTGCTACCTACACCTCGGCACTTCGCAATCCAATAATTAATAGCACTTTGGTTTCCTTTAAAAAAGCCACACTTTTGTTTTCTTAATAGAACCAAAATTATAAGTTGGGAGGTATCAAAGATTAATAGCTTCATTGTCTATTCACACATTGGATAGAGCATAGACGACAACACCAACCAGCAACAAGGAATTACGGACTAGTTTACATTTTTTTTCCTTATCATGTCACAAAACAAACCATCTATCCCTACACCGTGTCCGTGTCACTGTGCACATTGGTGCTATGTAATGTTTTTTACCATAAAAAGAATAATACAAATTGTTTCTTTAGAAAGAACTGGGTTAAGAAGCAATCTTGTTCGTAGTAATCTCCGATCGAGATTGTAGCCCTCACGAGTCACAAGCTAATTGGGGCCTCCGTCTACTACCGCACTAGCGTACAAGTATAGTCTAATATGCCAACACAAATTAATAAACTTCCATGTCACCTTGTCTTCGTCTTGCACTTGCTCATTGATGGACGACGACGGATTGGAAGCATCTCCGATCCTAATCGCCTGCATGGTGCCGCGTCTCTCCTTATCGTCAAATCGTAATCGTACGGTCTGATCTGAGTATCTGACGTCGTTCTTTGTGTGTGTTTGTGACGAATTGGCATCCATCCGTACGCACATACGACTGGTATATAACGTCCTAATTTTAATCTCCAATCACAAGTTCATGATCGATATTCCCCTTGTATATATATATATATATATGATTATCCACATATACAAAAGATACTTATATAAAAAAATGATCTGACGTTACCGCAAGAGGATAAGTCGTGTCATCGTGTGACAACCTCTTTTATATCATTGGATGCACATATATAGACGACAGAGGATTAGAAATGTTCATACACGCCAATTATCTACGTGAGGTGTTGTACGTGTCAAAGCTAACATCCAATCCAACGTGAGCAATGTACTTCGTATCTTCATCAAGTGCTCAAGCGTGTTGTAATCCAAACAATCTCTCGACCTTAATACAAAGATGCGTAAACCTTTAGCGTGTTCGAGAAAAATAATAATATCATCATCAAGTGTTGCGAGCCTCAGCTGCAAATGCCAGGTCACGTCGTAGCAACAAATGGTCAAATGGGCCAAATGACACGGCTTGTTTAGGCACTAATCCGGTTACCATAGATAGGTTAAAGGTTGTGCATGCTATCTGACTAGCGCAACGCACACCACTAGATAAGTTTTAGACATGTTGTGCCAGCCCAATAGGTCTGCTATGCTAGCCTGGTTAAAGGTCATATAGAACAAAAAAAAATGTCGCGGAGCTCATCTACTTGCTCGTCGACTTGTCCTTATAAAGCAGAATGCGAGGACGGGAGGTTGGAAGGCGGAGGCAGCCACCAGCCACGACAACTCAAATTGATGGTTGTGACAAGGTAGGGAAGGGGACTGGGAGTGAGCACCTCCTCGAACTGCGAGCGTTGGAGAAGGGGAGGTGGTGGCGTCTTGAATCCACGTGGAGCAAAGGGAGGGGAGTGAGAAATGGATGGAATGGGAGAAGGGAGGAGAGGGAAGGTAGACTGGGGTGGGGGTAGAGGATTTTTTTTTCTAGAAAACAAAAACATTGGTTTTTTCGGACTAGCAGCAGTTGGGGGTCCTATATGCAGCTATACTGCTACAGGTTGCCCTCCAATGGACATAATCCATTGGTGTCATGTAATCTGCACTTTCCTGCGCAACAAAACTAGAGCTGGAAAGATATTTTTTTCGGGCATATAAAGATGTCATGAACAGAGAGCAAAGAGTTCATATATATCCTCTCTAATCCAAATTATAAGTTGTTTTGTCTTTTATAGATACATTGATTTTGTTATGTATCTCGATACTATGCTATATCTAGATACATAGTAAAGCTACGTACCTAGAAAAGCCAAAACGACTTATATATAGAGAGAGAGGGGGATTGTTTGATGCGTGATTGTTGTTTCGCCTGTATATCTGACAGTTTAAAATTGTTTGCCAAAGTAAAGAAGACATAAACAACATTTTAATCATTGTACTTGGCCGCAGGATGGCATCTACAATGTATCTGGGCTTGATATGCGGAGAGTTGCAGATCGATAGTGAGTGAGAGCGCTACCGGAGCATGCATACCAAAAGGGGATTAAACGAGGATCGAAAGACACAATGACTGTCGTTGCGGCCGGTTACACGACCCCTTTGTGGTGCCAATTTGTTTCCACTGCTCCTGTCCTGACCTCCCATCGCGCTCCCTCCTTTTTCCACGACAAGAAGATATATTCCATGCGTTCAGTTCAGTTATCACGAGCATATATATATATATATATCTAATTAAAGAGCGCCGGCGCTTGTTGGGGCATGGAATCAACTAACCATTGTCCTACACACTCGTCGGTGCAACATTCAGCCACACAGCAACATCTGCCGTTATTCCCATCAGTATAACTTCCGTGTTATGGAGTACATACAGGTAGGAGATGAGAGATCTTGGGCAGATTCTTTCGAGTGCCAGTACGCAAATGCAGCAATGGCAACCGGTTCAGCGTATTCCCGTCGCAAATATGCAATGCAGCAAGGGGTCCCGTTTTGGATGAACACGGCGTCATATTTACTCTATTAGGGTCTAAATATAGCCACACTACCCACGGGTACGTAAATGGACTCGATCGGGCCTGGGTATGTTCCAAAGAATCGCCAAATGAAAAATACCCGGCCTCTCGAGCGCCGCAAAACTCCCCGCGTGGCCCAGTGGCCTCAACACGTGGACGCTAAACCCACAGGCCGTTTCCCTTTTGGCTATGTAATATAATGATTTATGACAAAATGACTTTGTGTGATGCGGCCCAGTGGCGGAAATATTATTATATGCGAACAGAAGATGGGGCGGGGTATGGGTCTCTGGGAAAATTCTCCACCCATGGGAGCATGGCCACCATTGCCATCCTTAGTCCCGTTTTGATTGAACACGGCTTCCACCAGCACCGAGAGACTCCCCGCGTCCACGTGGCGCGGCCCAGTGGCGGAAACGAACAGAAGATGGGGCGGGGGATCGGGAGCAACCCAGACGCTTCCACCGAGCACCGAGAGGTCCGTGAGAGACCGGGCAGGTCCGCCTCCAGCAGCAGCCACCTGTGTGGTGTGGTGAACTGGTGGTGTGCGCTGCGCCGCGCCGCGCGAGGCCTCTCCGAGTCGCCGACGGCCCGACCCCACGCGCGCGCCGCGGCCACACGCCAGCCACAGTTCACCTCACCACACCGCCGCCGCTTCGCGCGGACGATAAAAAGAAAAACTCGTCGCGTTTCAAACGAACCAGCCTACCGAGTACCGACGCCGACGCGGCCACGTCCCCACCAAAACAAAAAAGGAGAGGCCCAGAGGCATGGCGATCACGAGCTCCGCCTGCGTGGCCGCGGTAGCGCTCGCATCCGTCCCCTTCGCCGCCTCAACCTCCGCCTCTCCCCGCGTCGCGGCCAGCGGCCACCGCGGTCCAGGGCGCTTCAGGACCGCCACCGTCAGATGTTCCAGCGCGTCGCCGAACGTGTCCCAGGGCGCCCCGGCGCCGGCGCCGCCCAAGCCGCAAATCGAGCTCGAGTTCGTCGGGGTAAGCCTGCCTCTCCCTTGCCCGCCTCTGACGCCGATGACGCGGGTGTAGTGGGTCTAGTCGCTGGACGCCTGATTTTTGGTCTGCACTCTGTGCTGCTCTGTAGCCGAAGCCGGGTGCCGACGGCTCCTTCCCGGTGGACCGGTCGGAGGCGGCCAGCGGCGAGAAGCTCCTCCGTGACATCATGAACGAGAACAAGATCGAGCTCTACGCCGCATACGTGAGCCTCCCCTTTCCTTCGTCATGTTGAATTGTGCCGCCGCAGTACCAACGGGTGGCAGTCTGACAGAGTGGTATTGTTGTTTCGCAGGGTAAGGTGATGAACTGCGGTGGCGGCGGAAGCTGCGGCACTTGCATCGTCGAGGTACTTCCTCTCCACCCTAATCTACAGCACCGAATGTTTGCAACTGAAAAATGGGAATGGGCACTCCCAACAGCAGCTGGATTAACCGGAGGTTGGGTGTTGCGAATTTTCAGATAATTGATGGAAAGGAGCTCCTGAACGAAAGGACGAACACTGAGAATCGGTACCTGAAGAAGGTAGGCACTAGACAGTGTGCAGTTCAGTCGGCACTCAGTTGCTCTGTTGTCTGTGGATCAAGCTCGTTTCATCTCTTTTGTCTATGGCAGAAACCAGACTCATGGAGGCTAGCTTGTCAGACTATTGTAGGCAACAAAGAGAACTCCGGCAAGGCATGTTTCATATTATTCCCACATTCTGCAATTAACACTTCACTTCTGAACGTGTCTGCTCTTTTAAAAAGAAGCTCTGAATGTTTTGTAGATACTGACCCCCTGGTTTCCAATTACACAACCTAACTACTAAGCAGAAAAAGAAAACTCAGCCCAACTGGATATAGCCAAAAAAAAAATCCAATGAAGTACTTAACCTACACTGCTAATCTGCTATATTTTTCTTTTTAGGTTGTGGTACAACGGCTGCCGCAGTGGAAGAAATGATTGTGCAGCACCACACCCACACTGGAGGATGTACTGATACTCTGATAAATCATCCAGTTGTATGTGACTAAAATGTACGGAGTATGTACTAAGCAATAGAGAAGAGAAAGATCGCCTCAGCATATCGCTTGTGACCAGTTCTCTAGTAGTACTAGTACTAGTTTGCAAGTTTGGGCTTCGGCCCACAGTACATAGCTCAATAGCTGTACACTGGCCAAGATATTTCACATGTGGTATATGAAGACCAGAGTATTGTGTACATGTTGTTAGTCTTTAGGATACGTGGTATGGCATGATTTTCCCCAGAGGTATCGAACGCAGTTAATCCATGTTGGCGATTTTTTTAGAACAAGAACACGAGCCATGACCCATGAGGCACAGCTACACTTTCAGCAGGTGAAGGTTTTTTTTTTTTTTTTTGGCGATTAGGTGAAGGATTGGACCGATGGAGCGGACTAACTACAGGAGGCAGTCGTCTAAACGATGAGCCTGCTTCGGCTATAACAAATCATTAGGAAAACAGACAAACAGTGCGGCGATTCTGAAACAAATGGCCAATGGGCAAAGAGTGCAGGCTGCAAGGGGTTTAGCCGTTTGCTATCCGTCCGCAAATCAGCGATCGAAATCATCATGCATTCATGTGTAACAATGTGATACGAATTTAACGGTTTTGAAGGGTTGTGTATACCCACGTGACAACCATCCGTTGTAGTCTAGCTGGTTAGGATACTCGGCTCTCACCCGAGAGACCCGGGTTCGAGTCCCGGCAACGGAAACTTTTTTATTGCTTTTCAGGTCAGATTAGATTTTTATTTTATTTTTTTCTTGTGCATATGCTATCCAGGCCATTTGGCACTGAGACTGCAAAAGTCGTTCGCCACATCTCCTGAAAACTCCTTTTCATTTCTTGAACCGGGAAAGAAGCTAACAGCTAACACGCAGGCAGGAATGCCATTATAGCAATAAAAAAAAAACTTCATTAAACTCTATCCTACCAAATTGATGATTCTGCATCAGTCATCCATATAGCCTAAGGCAAGCTGAAAAGTGAAATTAAACTGTAGGACAATTGTTCATCCATAAATAGGCAAAGATACATGTAAAGAGTGTCAGCACTCAGCAGTCTCACATTACAGGTATTCTTGCCTTATGAACATAAACATCCAGAAATAGTTACAACTTACTACACTGATTACTCATACCAACAAATGCAAAAAAGAAGCAAGAGTAAAATATAGAGCACTACACTTGCTGCGCTTCACCAAAAGGGGGAAGAGCACCTTTGCTTGTTCCGCATACATGAGCTAGATCAGGGTGGCGATCATATTTGCCGATGGCTGGTGGCCTACTAGGACGGCAGTATGGCCAGTCACTGGCTGGAAAGCTGCAGCTGCCTCAAGCTTCTCCCAGGTAAGCTTACGCTTCACTTCTAGCGACACACGTTTTTCTTCTTCCTCCTTGTACTTGGCCAGGCATGATGAGAAGAGATCATCGTCCATCTCAGAAAACATTTTCTTGACATTCACAGTCAGATTCAGGACTGCTTGGTTCCAGTGATTCTGAATATTGTGCTCTAGTGCTGGAACAACAAGAGGCAAGATCACTTGGCGGTTTTGTGCAATCAAGCTGATAATGTGATCATTATTCCATACGAAGAGCGCTCTTTCAGCAACCTGAAACCATGCAACTTGTTAAGGCGATGACGACAACAAAACTACCAACAAAGAGGATTTGTTAAGGCAACAACTGCAATTTAAAAAAATAAAAGAGAAAGCAAACCTTAAAGACAGGACAGCCAACTGTGTTTTTATATTTAGATCATTCCAAATGCTTAATGCTGGTCCAAATATCTGATGTTTTCCATATTAAACAGTATCTAGGGCCCCTATGATTTAGTGGTGACTGTGACATGATTGCCCACTGTTGTTAGTGTCCACAATTATTTCAGATGATTATTCATGTGGCATGTTGACAAATTATGACCTTCAAATGCTAGGTACATTAAGGGACTAAAATAAGCTGGCTGTCAGAGTCAGAGATAAACAGCAAATGTATATGTAATCATGAATCACTCTGACTGAGTTATATCTACTCTTTTTCCAGACTTACCACCAATAAGATTAGGTTTATAGTACAAGTGGTAGGAGCAAGTAACATAGAATGAATCTAATTCCATATGGCACTTGGGTTGCTCAAATGCATACAGCAACAAGCAACTGAAACATTTACTAGATTAGATTTATCGGGGCAAGTTACCTGGAAGTGAGAACTGGTGATACAATGAGCAATCCGCCGAAACAATGGTACCATACATTTCTGGAATTCTGCCTGGCTGGTAGACTCCAGGATCTCTTCAATCTCACTGAGAAACATCACTTCCTTCTGACAATTTGTTATTGGCCAATATCTTAACAAACCAATTATCACTGAGCTTGCAAGCTTTGGGTCCTTTTCTATAAACTGTGTCACACAGTAGGTCAACTGCTGAAGATACACACCAACAGATTTCGGTTTGTGTAGAGGAACCAAAACCCTCCAAAGAAAAATCTTGTGTTCTTCTTTCAGAGGCAGTGCAAACCCACTAATGACACTGCCAAAGACCTCCAGCAGCTCTGCGATCCCATTGTGCCGATCAGTCTCAAAGACGAACTGGTAGAATATATTGCTAACTGCTTTGCGAATGAAAGGACGGTGTACCATGAACTTCCCATATACCCTGTGCAGAATAGTTTTCAAACAATCCCTTTCTCTTGGATCCTCGGAGTCAAGAAGATTAAGGAGCTTCACAATGAATGAGTGATCAAAGTGTTTCTTCCCTATCTTTGCATCCAAGGATGATGATCCAATAAATTTCAGCAGCAGCTCATAAACAAGCTGCAGATGGCACCACGCAGGATCGAACATTGGCTCATCCTCGTCGCCCTCACCGCCACCTGATGAGCCAGACCTGCAGTTTGGAGGGAACGCCCGGAACAGGTTGATGGCACACATCCTAGAGCAGGCCGCGATCACCACCTCCGAGAAGCGAGCATTGGTCGACTCGACAAACTCTATAAGATCCAGCAATGCCTGCCTCTTGATATCCTTCTCCACTGAACTCTTGTTCGGGTCCGAGAAATCAAACACGACACAGCACAGGCTCAGCTTGCTCACAAACAGGTTTTGCTTCTCCGAGTTGGGGACATCCTTGAACGAGACCAGCGGCTCAATACCAGCCACAACACTCGAGGGGAAGACGGCGGATGACATGCGCCGAATGGCAGAGGCCGGGCGGCCAGGCGGGATGCTCCCGCAGCTGCTCGTGCGCTGTATGCCGGCGCCATTGCTGCACTGGCCTGAGTCCCCGGAGCCCGACGACTTCCGGGGCAGCTTGCTGAGGAACTGCTTCCACATCTTCCACAAAACCTTGATGAGGCCGTCACACCAACACCATGGCAACAGTAAACCTTGCCGCTAACACATCAAAGACTAGCACGGGAATGGAGCAATAACCAGGATTACTCGCCAAAAGATATCTATAAGCTCTACGCTAAGCTGAGATTTCTGGCACAGAAGAGCACAGCGCGGAAAAATGCAGCTAAATCTGGACAACGCCGGCTGGTGCCAACCAATCGAAGAAAACCAAGAGCAACCCGAAAACCCAGCAGAGTTGAACAGACTCGCCTTGAAACCTTGAGCAGCAAGAAGAAGAGGAAGGGAAATGGCAGCCGCCAATCTGGAGCTAGAGCGAAGATGTCACCCCGGACGGCTGGGTTTCGCTCGGATCTGAGGCTCCTAGCCACGCGCTCGCCGGATCCAGGCGGCGCGCCGCGGCATGTGGGAGGAGCGGGGACGGGAGCTAGCACAGGACGACGGCGGGCATGGGAGGCATTGGGAACCGGATCGAAATCTGCAGCGCCTCGCTTTGTCCGCTTCCCGGGACGGGACGAGGAGACGAGACACGAGAGGAGGGAGAGGCGCTGAGGAGTGGAGGAGGGACTAGGGAGGGACCGAGCAGTGAGATAGGAAGGGGAGGGGAGGGGCTGTTTGCTGTTTCTTGCGGGGAATGGTTTGTTTATCAATTATCATGGGACATGTACGGACAAAGAAACAAATTAGGTGACCGTCTGCGATGTACGGCTCACGATGCCCGTGCTGACGAAGGGAAAATCATCATCGCCCCAAACCCGGGTGCTTTTTTAAAGCCAGGATCCTGGCTTTACTTCGAAATTACTGCCGCTTTATCGACGATTAAACTGGCCGTAATTGCGCAGGAACGCAGGGGGCCATGTGCAAACCGCCGGCTTTAATCGCCCGGTCCGGCGCCCTCGTCCTTGGGTGGGTGGGCACGGGCACGGGCACGGGACCGGCCGTCGATCGGGCGCTTTAATTCGAATGGAGGAGTGGTCACGGGCGGGGGATCCCGGCCGTCCGTCGGATGCGGGGACGGAGGGGTCAGATGGGCTGGGCGGCCGCGTCCCGTGACCTCAGCGAGCGGCGCACGGCCGGGCGGTGGGGCACCGGCGGGTAAGTGAGTGACGGCACGGGTACTCGCCGGACCAGCCCCGCACCGTCCGGCCTTGCGGTGCGGCTCCGTCGCTGTCGCGCCGCAGGGGGGCTGCCGGGCAGGCTGCAGCGACGAGACCGTGGTTGGCCGCGGGCTCGGCGTCGGGAGAGCGTGGGTGCGTGTCAGCAGACACTCGGCATGTGCGGTGGCCTGTAGCATGGTCCGCCACGGCCTAGCTGCAGAAGGATGCGCGCCCATCCGTGACGCGTCATCAACACGGTGCGATCATGCTGGCTCTGACAGATGGGATATGAGGGTGCAAGCGAAACAACACTGCGTCAGGGATAAACGAGTTATTGCTCATGCAAAAACA